TTATGAAATGATAAAAAATATCTCTAAATATAACCGTTTATATGATTGTTGGAGGGAAAAGCTAGTAATTTACTTAGGAGCAAGAATCAAATCAGAGTTTCGATTTTCAAATATACTTAGGATGGTTTTGATTTTGATTCGATTTAGTTTTGATTTCGGCCTAATTTGATTCTAAGTTGAAATTGAACCGTGGTCTCGGCTCGATTCGATTCCAGTTTGAACTAAACCTACCTCTAATTATCTTAAAACTATAATAATAATAATAATAATAATAATAATAAAATATATTGTTAGTTGAGAAGCTTAAATGAGTTGATTGTATTTTATCTTAATATAAAATTATTTTAATTAAAAAAATTTATCTATCTATATTGATGGATCTTTTAAATAAATATACTAAATCCATATAATTAGAGACTTTAAGTTATCTATAATAATAAGTCATAATATCAATTTTGATACTGATAAAGTGTTTCACATAAGTCTTTGTTTGTTGCAAATAATCTTTTTACAAATGAGAAGTGGTGGAGATTTGATGATAAGAGTCTAAAAACTTAATGATAATTTATTAAAATTTTTATCTATCAACTAAAATAGCCTCTCATATCACTAATTATTCATCTTCTTGTGATTATTAGAGGCATAATTAGAGAAAAATTAAGTTTAAAAATGTACGTGTTTTCTTAGCCTTTGGGGGAAATTGGAGACATAATTTAAGTTTAAAAGAAATGTAAGTTTTGGGGGAAATAAGATCCCAAAAAAATGTAAGTTTAAAAGAAAAATTAGAGACATAATTTGAGCCCAAATCCCAAAAAAAAAAAAAGTTTAAAAGAAAAAATAGAGACATAATTTGTCTTCCATCTTTTGGGGGGAAATAAAAGAACAATCCCTCTTTACCTTATCCACAACTTGGAGAATTTGATGGACCCTCTTTATTCCCTTTGTCTTCTCAAACATGTCTTGCCCCTAAGAAGTAAGCCCAAGACCACAAAAAGGGAAACAAAAGGAGAAGAAAAGAGAGAGAGAGAGAGAGAGAGAGAGAGAGAGAGAGGCAAAAAAAAGCATGTCTTTGGCTCCTTCATTTCCTTCCATCAAGATCAGAATCTCTCCTCATCCTTCTCACAGATTGCCTCTCAGGCCATCTACCATCATCAGGAGCTCCAAAGCTGAGGGCCCTCTAAGGAGACCTGCAGCTCCTTCTCTCTCCCCACCCACCCCTCCCTCTTCCTCTGCTTCTTCATCACCCCTCGCTCCACCTTCCCCTGCCCCCGCGCAGGCTCCTCTGCAGCCGGTGGTGGTGACTTTGGAATACCAGAGGAGGGTGGCCAAGGAGCTGCAGGACTACTTCAAGCAGAGGAAGCTTGAGGAGGCAGACCAGGGTCCTTTCTTTGGTTTCTTGACCAAGAATGAGATCAGCAATGGCAGGTACCAGAGAGAATTGATGGCTTATGCCTTTTTCATTATGACTTATTTTTTAGATGAAAGATTCACCTCACCTCACCTCACCTCATCTCTCTATTATATGGATATGTGGTTTGGAAAGATAGGATTGGTGTCTTTCAAGTGTTCTTCGATTTACGTAAATTTATCTGATAGTTGATTTATCGAGTCTCAATCTCATGAAGATGACATCAATTTACCTGGTGGACTAATTGCATTATAATTTAGAGAAAAAGATCATTATGATTGTAATAAGCATTAGTAATTTAGAGAAAGAGATCATTATGATTATTTTATTTAACTTAAATCATTGATGAAAATGTTTAGACTGAAGTTGATAATAATATACTTATTAAATCTTCAAAATCATAACATGATGTATATGAGGCATAACCCTCCATGTTGTCATGTGTTCTCTGATCTCATCCATGGGTAGTCTTTTCTTACTCGAGTTCCCTTACTGTATATAAATATTAGGTCGACTCTAATATCAATTGTTCTGACCTAGGCTTAGTGGGTTAATTGACATGTCAACTTTATTAAACCTAAATCATATGCCAAAATACTTAATCATAAGTCGACAATCGTACACCCTAGGCTTAGTGGGTTAATTGACCTGTCAACTTTATTAAACCTAAATCATATGCCAAAATACTTAATCATAAGTCGACAATCGTACACCCATTAAACTCTCATAAGAGAATCTTAATTTTGCTCATTTGACGTGAGACTAATTAGGGTGTTAAAAACTCTCCCACTTAAGGGCTTAACATATCTCAGATCAAATCTTAGCATGATGCAAATGTGGCGTAGCCCAGTGATGACTCTATGCCAAGCGAGTTACTCCTTTTCTACCTGAATCCTCTCATCATGTCTTGATACTAGATTGACTTTGATATCAATTGTCATTATCCAAGCACGATGAGTTAATTAGTCCGTCAACTACTGTTCAAAATAGAAGTTGATATTTATAGGTCAAAAGATGCTTATACACAAGAATTTATAGTATTGGTCACGTATTCTCATCCTTATCGCATGCTGTGACCAATTGGTTTACAGAAAATTTTCATTCTAGTGCTGTTCATTACAATCCATGAATTGAATTCGCAGTACTCCAACTTCTCCATGGATTGCTTGTTGCTGTTGTTTTTGCTAGACAACGTTGGATGTTCTTTTATCACCTTCTGCTTCCCCGCGGTTTGTTTGCTTTGCTGTATGTTGTTGTTCAGTGATCTTGCAGATGGGTGTTAGGCTTTCTGTGTTTCGATCTTCTAAACAGCAATGACAAGTTGATTAATTCTAAACTGATGACCAGAAATGTATGTGCTCAGGAATTCATAGTATCGACACATATTTTATCCTTATGACGAACTGGTTTATGATAATTTTCTTTCTAGATGCTGTTCATTACAATTCATGAAATGAATTCATGGTAATCCTTCAAGTTCTCCATGGATTCCTGTTTGTTTTTGGAGAATGTTGGCTGTTGATTGTCCTGTTTTGATTCTGTGCAACTTGTTTGCTTCGCTCTTTGTTGTTTGGTGATCTTGCAAATGGTATTAAGCTATCCTTAGTATCTTCGAAACAATGAGTTAGATTAAGAGATGTTTGTGTTAGATTATATAGTTCTATCTAATTATGCAAGATAAATTATAGATTTGATTAAATTTTGATTACAGTTATTGATCAATAGGAAGAAAATTCAATTATGATAGAATTTCTTAGGAAATGATTAGAGAGATTTCTAATTATCATTCTTAGTCCATAATCCATCGCTTATATGGATCCTATTAAGGATAAAAAAAGCAAAGAATGCAAGTTTAGTTTTTCTTGCATATCGACATAGCTTCAGTTTTCGGATCCGATAATAATGCATCTATAAATCAGATAAAGACTTTTTGAATGACATCGAAAAGTGCGTATCGTGTATTTGATCTCCTGTTATTTGATTTTGATTTCTAGCATTAAAGTTTTTCATAAAACAAAAGCATAATCATGATTTTTATGTTTATAATTGGTATTAAAGTCATGTTTTAAAATTAAATACCTTAGATCTATTTATTAGCATTCTTCGCTAGAGAAAAGGTGTTATTCAGTTTTCATTTACGATGCTTAAACGATTCATCTGTGTTGTTGATATGCTTTTATTTCTAGTCTGTTTTATCATATGTTTACGGTTAATGCGACGTTTCTCATGTTTGATCGATAGACCACCATCGATAACTTATTGTTGATAATAATATTATTGAGGGAGGCGACCTCCAATAATTATCAACCAAATTGCAAGCAATAGTTGCTTATGTAGCGGAAGCACCGTGGGATACAACAATTAGCGACAACTACATATATGGTTGCCTATGTGTAGTAGCCTAGCAACGATTGACTTGCCTTGGTCATAAGTGGTTATAGTAGTGCCGCTGCCTATGATAGCTACAGTGACTACAATAGTGCCACTACGTGCGGTGGTTGTAGTGCCACTACTTGTAGTGATTGCAGTGATTATAGTAATGTCATTATTAGCGACTAATGCGACAACTGTAGCAATGCCAATATGGTGGCATTTCTGGCTGTGGTCAGCATCAACTAGACATCAAAGTCTAGCCATTGAACAAGCGAAAGTGTGAGCACAACTACACGTCACGATAATCGTTGGGGTCGATAATCAGAGCATGTGTATAATCGCAGGTTGGCACAGTGGCACAACACTACACAATCACGATGTGGTCGCTAGTCGATGCACAACACATGTGGGCATGACGATGGTGTAGTCGCTAGTTGATGCATAGCCACGCGTGAGCACCATGGCACGGTACGACGATGGTGAGGTTCCTAGTTAATTGCATGAGAACAATCATGCTATCACGGGTAGTGCGCAAGCGATAGACGATTACTGCATCGCTGGTGAGACTTGCACGCTTGGGCAAGGTGAAAAGAAACTACAACGGTTGTAAGAGAGATTTTAGGATTTTTTTAACTAAAAGGATCTTTTTACGCCTCAAAAAAATTAAATAATTCTAATCTATGTTCTTAAATTCATTTTTCAGTTATGCCCTTCATAAATTGGATATGTTTATTATATCTAACATAAAATTATAATTTTGTTCTTCAAAAATTAAAGATTTCTCTTATGTCCTCAATTACAAAATTGATTAATTTAATTTATTTTAATCAAATATTTTTATTAGACCTAATCATGATTATATTTTGACTGTTTGATTAGATTTAGATCCGATTAATTAAATTTTGATCAATTTTTTTTACTTTGATCAACTTTAATTTTGACGGACCTCATTTAGCATGTAGTTGGCTCAAATTTATGTGCTCAATTTGGGTAGCCCAATTAAATAGGATTGATTAATCTAAAAGTTCCATATGAATTTTAAAAAAAATATAAATTATTATTTTTCTTTATAGTTTTCTTATATAACATATTGATAAAATTTTATATTTAATAATTTAAAATATAGTTATTATATTTAGATATTTATTTAGTTATTCATATATATATTTAAAATTATGAAATAATATTTGTTTTTTTAAAGTATGATATATGATTTTTTATAATTATAATTATCATATGATTTTTTTTATATTGATTAATATTTAATAATTATTATGATTATTATTTTATTATTTTTGAACTATTTCGACATACATTAGATTGAAAAAAAAATTATTAAATATTATTTGTAACTCATATCCTTAAGCTTTCTCTGATTGGTAGCTATCAAAGTGACCTAGGATAGTAGGCTTATAAGATGTGAACTACAATGAATATTTTAATATTTATAAAATATTTTTTATTATCTTTTATATTATTATATTGGTTTTATAGTCGTTAAAGTGGTCTAACCTAATAACTTATAAAATTATATTAAAAAATTAATATTAAATGATATAAAAAAATTAATATTCATAATGACACATAATTAAGAGATATAGATAATCACAAAAAAGAATCTATTTCGAGTAATTATGTTATAGGATAAGATGATAATATTTTAGATATCTATATAGTTTATGATTATATACCTAAATGTAACAATACTATTGTTGAAAAACTTGGAAGAGCATCACAAAATTTATATCAAATGGTACGACGATTGGGAGAGAAAAACTCATGAAACCGAAAACTGCATAAGATTCGTAATATGCTCTCACCTAAGAGAACTCGTATATCCCTGTTCTACAAATCTCAGTCTGTGGATGAAGGAGATCTCGCGTTCTCCTCTATAGCGGTGATTCACGTGATAGGATGAAGCGGTAACACACCTTCTCTCACGACATGTTCTTTCCTCGCTTTCATGCACTACCACAAACACAGTAGGGGTAGTCCTTCTTGCTACCCTCTCACACCAAAGAGAGGGGTAGTCGACTAAGGAGAAGCAATGAGAGGAGTTAGGGAGGTGGTGGCTAAGGGGTCCAGCCTTATAACCCTTTTAGTCCCACATCCTCTTTTATAGAGAGCTTCTACAATAAACCCTGATGGATCCTATTATATTGGGTACTATATTTTCATCCAATTATCCTAGCATATTGGATACTGGATCTCCATCCAATTATCCCTAGCTTAATGAAAATTAGATCTCTATTAAATTATGCACTCTAAGTTTTTATTAGGTCTCGCCTAATAGATCCAATAAAATAAGGACTTATTGGATATCACATACTCAACCTCTATTTGTCATGTCATCCACTATTTGTGTATGACCCTTTAGGCCCAATACCAAGCTGGCCGTGAGTTGCATTTGTCAAAACTCCTTTCGATTTAGTAAATTATCATCCCTTGATGATTCACTAACTCGACTATGGACGTACTAAGTCACTACGCTATAGTCCCCAGATGGTATAAAAAAATCTAATACATTGGACTTGTCTATACTCAATTACTAAATATGTGTAGTCCCTTATCTATCTAATATTCTAGAGATCGAATACCGGGTGTGGTGTTGTTGGCCCCATACGAAATCTTCTTAAGTCTTGCTCTAATCGGATTTTTCTAAAGAACTCATTCTCCCTTAATCTGAATGACCCTAGTCATGGATTTATTTGAGTAAGAATACACGTAATATTCCTCTTATGACATTGAGAGTGAATGATCCTCTATTGGTACTCAATTGCTCTCGTAAGATTGGCTACTACTCCCGATGACCTGTTGTGCTATATTTGGAATCTCAAGACCTATAAGTTCGGTATCAAAGAGCAGAATACTCATACAGGACATCCTTGGTGTCTCCAAGTCTAAAGACTATACACACAACTAAGACCACAGAACCGTTGTTTGATGATGAGATATCATTAACCATCCAATATTCTATGAGTGAATTATTCAGTGAATTCATTCTCTAATGAACATCTACACTATATTCCTAGTGTTCCCACACAAGCAGTTATAAAACCAACTGCCTCCATTATATGGACGGGCATATAGTTTTGATTATAATTATCGATCAATAGAAAGAAAATATAATTATGATAGAATTCCTTAAGAGATGATAAAAACTCTCATAGTTACCATTTTAGACCCTATGCTCTCGCGTATAAAAGGATAAGATTTTCTAGGGATGAAACAATCGGTTATTGAGATTACATATCTATTCTTAATCCTAATATATCATTTATAATGATTTTATGAGGGATAAGAAGAGATGAGAAGACGAATCTAGTTTTTCTTATAAAATTTTAATAAATTGTTTATAAATTGAATGACTGTATCTTATATTTGATGTATTATTATTTGATTTTAATCTTTAGCATTACAATTTTTTACATAACACAAGCGTAACCAAAGTTTTTATACTTACAGTTTATACATAAGAATTTTAGTATCAATCGAATATTCTAATCCTTACCGTGAGATTTTACCAACTGGTTTATCATAATTTTCTTTCTTGATGTCATTCATTACAACCCATGAAATTAAATTCTCCATGGGTTGCTGTTGCTTGTTCTAAAGGATATTTCAATCACCAGTTTCTGTTTCTGTGCGATCTTGCAGATGGGCAATGTTTGGATTTGCTGTAGGCTTGCTGACAGAGTATGCAACAGGTGCAAGCCTGGTTCAACAGCTAAAGATCCTTCTCTCCAATTTTGGAATTGTGGACTTGGACTGATGCCTCATATCATAATCCACTTATGTGTAGGTTCAATCAAAGCATCATGAATCTGTCTTCTCTTACACACTCACTACATTTCGCTTCCTCTGTTACATCACAGGCATGTAGAAGTCATTCTTGATCATAACTAGCAAATATTTGTGGAAGAAGAAAAAGAAATTGTCATTATTGAAATGCTTTGTGAAGGTTTAAAACTTCTTTCTAATGAGACTTTTATGAAGATGCCATTGATGAACATGGAAATGTGAAGTATCTTATAGAAGATAAGATTTTTTCATATGAGAAAATCTCTCTATTCTATTGAGGGAAATCCTTTATTCTGTTGAGGAAAATCCTCTTATTCAAACTAAAGTTATTTCAATGAAGCTTCATCACATTTTCTTCGATAAAGCTTCTACAATAATTGTTCTTATCTTTTATATTTTTATAAATAGGAGAAGGACATGTTAATGTATTCAATAAAGCTTCTTCACTTCTTCTTCAATAAAATTTTTACAATAATTGTTCTTATCTTCTATTATTTTCCTCAGTATCATCTTATAGATAAAATTAATCTGTTCATCATGCATATCACAACGGTTGAGGTGTTTGTGAGCCATTCAATATTATAATCTAATAAAAATATCTATTGTAAATTTTTAACCTTGAATCTGGTCTTTATCATTTATCTTTATATATATATATATATATATATATATATATATATATATAAAGATATTCTTATTTTGCCCTAAAAAAATAAATCAAATATACAAACAAAACACGGCTAAAGATATTCTTAACACCTCCGACGAAACTACCCACACGCTTACCAGTCCTTCGAGGGGACGGAAGGAGTGGTTGACCTGATGCGTCATGTTTATGTGGGCCCCACGCTGGCCGCGTCTCTCATCACAAGGCAGGCGGAAGTGAGAGGGCAAACACGAATCTCGCAGTCTCGCCTCTTCCCTGCGATTCCAAATCCTACCCCTGAGATCTGGAGATTGCGCCGGGGGCTTCTCTTCGTTCCGATCTCCTCTTCATCTCAGCACAGATCTTCGTGGTTCGCTCCGGGGTTTGGATCCCGATCTTGCTAGCGTTGGCTTTTGTTCTTCTTCCACATCTTAAATCTGGAAATTGTGTTGGAGAATTGTCGAGGCTTTGGTCTGTTTCTCCGTTCGATCGTTTGAAAGGAGAACTGGAAGCTGTCTGTTGCTGAGTCTTGATTCAGATGGTTCTTGCTCTGAATTAGAGAGCAAACATAAGAAAGGTAGGGTTTTGGAGCGAGAGGAGGAGTCATGTTCTATGGGGCGATCGTGTGGGATCCGTGGCTCATCGTGTCGCAGATCGTCTGCTTTCAGTGCTTGTACTATCTGACCCTCGGATCGTTCATGGCCATTCTTGTGGGGACGCGGGTTTCCCAGATGAGCCTCATGTACTTCTTCGATTTCTCGACGCTCACAGCTTCCACCGTCACAGGGTGGTGCGCCATTGTTTCGTTCCTTCTCAGCTCCCTCGCTGGGTAAAAATATCATGTTTCTTGGTTTTGCAGATCATTTTGTTCAAACCTTCGGAGTTATCTTTCTGAAACTGATGTTCCTTTTGAACTCTTTATATTTATTGTTCATTTTACGCTTGCCTCCATATAGTAATTTGGCTCCGTTGAACATGTGGTCTGAAGTATGTGTTTCGATGTTATATTCAAGTTTACACACATCACAACTGTTAGTTCTGTGAGTTGCCTTTGATATTTAATGAATAGCAATTCCAGTTTTTGTGGTTCTTTGACTCTAGGGACCTTTGGCTTGCCAAACAAAAGTATTTATCGTAACCCATGCTCTCAACTTTCACTTGTTTTGTCCAATGATATTTGGCTGTAATGAGGCAGTCCTCTCAGATTCACCTGTCTTTCTTGAACAGTAATTTGTATGATGGAGGCCGAATTTTCATGCCATACACATCTGAAATATCTTTAATATTTCCCTACAAACTGCTCCATAGCAGCTCATTCGAGTTCCTAACTATATCATTTATTTACTTAAGAAATGTATTTATAACTTCTAGCTACTATGAGTTACATATTGTTATTCACAGCTTTCTTCATGACTCTATGTTTTTTTCTTGATACAGAATGCCCTTATCTGGTATTGTAATGCTTTCTTTTTGCCTTGAAAAAACAAGGCCTATACTTGGCTAGTAAGAATAAGGACGTTTTATGCATTACATGACTCATGAAAGTGACTTTACAAGATATATCTAGTTCTTAGTTCATATTATTATCAAGAGAAAAAGATTCTTTGATATCGCTATAGAAAGTCATTGACGGCTTTCAAGCAGTTCTTGCTGTGCATTATTCATGGTTTGCTTCTCATGGTACTAACATAGTCTTACAAAAGACACTTGGATTGATAATTCAATGGAAACAACAACAGAAAAACAATGACAACAATAACAAAAATGATTCGTCATGTCACATGTTTAGGAAAAACAGATTCGTCTCTAAATTAAAATATTATTTCTTGGCAGTTCTGTATTTGCAAGTATATTGTGTAGATGAAATAGTTTACCTATCTACATTTTTTTTTTTTTGCCATTAGATATTGATAGTTATGTGTAGACATTAAAGTTCATCTGATGATACTAAAGGGAAGAAGGCAGCAAACTCTACATTCAATACTAATTGGTACTAGTGTACCATTGACTTCAGTGCTCATATTCTCTAATATTTTGTGATTTTTATCCGTTATCTGATGTCTTGATCAGTGCAAGATTACCTTTAGCTTACCTTCAACAATTGTCATTTATCCATCTTGTTTACTGCTTTGGTAGGAATTCAATTTTCTTCCAAATAAATTGGTAGCCTAGTAGGATTTGCCTTCAAAAGGAAAGGCTGCTTATAACCAACAACATTATACCTTGGATTTGTCATATAGGTATCAGGTGTTCCTAGACTAAAATCTCTTTAGCAAAGTACATTTGAATATTATGGTGAAGAGCAGCTTGTAATATTATTGATTAGTCTTGTCTTTTACAGGGGTGTTTTGGTATCTAGGATAGTGCGTACTGGAAGTCCATGCTATGTTCCCTAGACATGTGTGCATGTTTAATCATACATATATTCGTACATGAATATATATGCTCATACATGATAATGTCAAAGTTACCTCTTCCTTTGATACCTACTGTATACTCTTTTTCCTAATATATCGATATGGGAACTTTCTTCCTTGTCTCACAATGGATCTATGAGTTTGAGAATGATTTTACAAGTCATAATACATCTTGATTATGGAGGTCTCAAAAGTTCAATTTTCTTAAGTGTATAATGTTCCGAACTAAAAAAGTGATGGAAGAGTAGATAATAAGTTGATTATCTAGGCACACTGTTGCATTAGCATAGGTACGGTTCAATAGGCTACTTAAATAATATTTAAAGTTTTTAAAACTAAACATGCTTGGTGAATGCTGATAACAGAATTTATTCCTTAATTTACCTCCTCTTTCTTGAGCAGGGCAATTTATTTGCTATATTTGGTAGAAAGAGCCAAAAAGTGCTTGGACTTTTCAGCTACCCTCTACATTATTCATCTCTTTATATGCATTATATATGGAGGTTGGCCATCTTCCATTACCTGGTGGGTTGTTAATGTCACTGGTTTGGCATTGATGTCTTTGCTTGGTGAGTGGCTGTGCATCAGAAGGGAGTTGCAAGAAATTCCTATCACACGACTTCGTTCAAGTAAGCAATCTTTTGCTTATTGCTATTGGTCATTTGTATTCTTATTCTTCTGTGGCAAATGCACACCTTTGTTAATGTTAAAATACTATGGTTGGTTTCTTCACCAGTGACTACTATTTTTTGGAGTTGCAAGTTTGCCCTCTGCTTGCATCAAAAACTTTTTCTTCTAACTTCATTAACTTCAATGTTAATGGATATTGTAAAATTATTTTCTGTGTTGCCATCCTTTTTTGTCAAAATTACAGATATTATTGCCACATTTAAACTTTTTTAGTAAAAAAGACATGATATGGTGCCTAGAACCTTGCTTCCAATTCCTCATCCATGATCCAAAGCCTTGTGTTTTCTATGCAAATTTGCATCCTCTACAGTAATTAATGATTCAAATCAGACAGACATTTTTATAACTACAGTGGTTTTCTTCTTTTTAGGAATATTTTGTTACCTGGTATATCGTCAAATCATAATTGAAAGCTTTAAATAGTTTTAGATGACCTGAACTCTTAACCTATACCTAATGAGTGAAGGGACTGAAGAATGGAAGTGGTAGTAAACAACAATACCAGGTTCGAAGCTGCAGACTTTGTCCATAAAGCCTTCATGAAAACAGTAACTAATTACGACAGAAGCAATTGTTGGAGATGATACTCGAGATCATCAAGCTTCAGCTTCTTCTATTTCTTTTCATACTTTTAATTTTTTTATTGCATTCAAGGAGTTAATCATAACATGCTCAATTAGTGACTTCCCATGTGTTGTAGTTGTTAATTATCTAGCACAATTGTGATGGTATTTTTGGTTATCCATCTGTGTATTTTGCTAGCCATCCAAAGCAGTGATTTAAATAGGTGCTCGGGCGCTCACCTAGGTGCTCGGGCGAGGCGAGGTGAGGCTCGAGCGCCTCGTGTGTGGATCAGGCAGCGTGCTTCAATGAGGCGCCGCCTGACTCGCTCAAACCTGGGCTTCGGGCGCTCCGGGCGAGCGTTGGTTCAAATAAGGTAATCAAACCAAACTTTTAAGTCTAGTTTGGTTCGATAGTAGTTAGTTGGTTTGATTAAACCAACTAACATAGTTACTTACCCTCAAAAGCGGCACTTTACGGTTGCGCGACCCCGAGCCAACGCTAGCGTTGTTTCTGCCTCCACCACCGACACTTTCTGTTGTTGCCTTCGTCGTAGATGCAGCAGACCGAGCCTTCCTCTGTCGCCAACGAATGGGTTTGATGGCCTCGCAAGGGCCCATAGCTTCCTTCCGTCGTCCCTCCGTGTGCAATTCCTCAACCTGTCGAGGGAGAGGACCACAGGTTCCTCCGCCACTGACGGACTCCCTTTGGAACTTTTGCCGCTGTTATCCGTAGCTTCCGCTACTATCGCTGCTGCCGTCTGTAGCTTCTGCCGTTGCCGCTTCCGCTACTATCGTTTGTAGTGCTGTCGCAATTGTCTTAAACTAATCCTCTAATGCTACTGCCAGCTTCTCACCGCTGCTACTATTGCTAGCTTCTTACCGTTGCCTCTCCTTGTCACTTTCGACATTGCCGGTGACAATTTTATCCCCTTACTATTAATAAATAGTTCTTTTCTCCGTCTCTAACTATTGTTAACTATAAATAATATACTGTTAACAGTAGATTGTTAACTACTATATAAAGTAATATCTATTTACTAGATTGATAATATAGATTTTAACATTGCTAATCTTTGTTTATTTAAAACGTTAGTGTTTTGAGTCTTTTTGACATTTTTGTTACTAAAAGATGGATAATGTGACTTGGTACTTTAGATCTTTTTAATTTAATGTCATATTTTTATTTAAATAAATATATTTATCAATTATATTATATATTTTAATATTTCAGAGAGTCTCGTTTCACTCGGGCGAGCACTTAGCGCTTAAGGCTTTTTGGGATTTTGGCGTCTTTTGGCATCTAACGCTTTTTAAATCACTGATTCAGAGAAAAGTAGGTCCACTGTTAAATAACTAATAACTTTTTGTTAGTAATTAGGGTGGAAACTACCTGATTCTAGGTGAATTTGGAAGCTACCTGTGTATCATTCTAACTTAGGATCCATGTAACACACACACACACACACAGGGAGTTATGAGGTGTGCCTCCATGTTCTGTAGGATTTTAAGAAACAGAGTCCAAAATAACTTTTATGTTTTAATCACTCTACTCTACTCTCGTTTTTATAATAGGCATTAGTTGACTCTGAGGTTTATTCTCTGCAGATGTTTGACAGGTTAAAAGAGCATAGGTATATGACAAATCCAAATACACGTCTGATGCTTCTTCATATTCTTCAGAATCAGAGAGATTTACATCACTGAAAGCAGTTAAATGTTATAGTGGCTGCTGTAAAGAATTTTCTTTTTGTGGAACTCCATTGTCAAGTTGTGAAGGAGCTTAAATGTGATACGACACATCAGAAATGACATGCTCTACTTTGCTATCTGAGTACCAGCAAGGTTAATCTTTTATTAATTGTTTTACTGGATGGTCTTGCGGCAACCCAATTAAATATGTAATCAAACAAAAACAATTCAAAGTGTTACTTGCCCCTTCTATTTCTTTATGGTGATTGACTTCCATGTCTTTTTGTTCTCTTTTTAGGGTGTGTGCCCAAGTATAACACGTGTGAAGTGATACTCTTTCTTTCTTAGATCTTTTTGTTGATGATTCTATAAAGTTGTGAAAGAATGACCACCAATTAGTGGCATATTCTGTTGTTCCATCTTATTTTGATTAACAATGGTGATAAACCCATGCGTGTGGACTGACTTTGGAAGTCTTGGATCTTAATTTCCTACATGTTGGTGACTAAAAGGTCAGTGATTTCTAATTCTCCAGATTGTTCTAATGCATTATTAGCTTGTATTTTTCTAAACACATTTTCTTCATTCATTTCTTCCATTCCAAACGTATCTGTTCTGATATTTGTGGCTGCTAAAGTGAGTCAGTCTACTTTTGTGTAGTCGTGTAGAAGAAGGCTTTATAAAATTATTTCTGATAATATTTAAGTGATTTCTTGACCCAAATTCTGTGTTCACCTTAAATTGATTAAAAATTAAAATAGAAATTATAACCTTTTACTTGAAATATAAAATTTAACCTGTTTAACAATAAAATAGAAAAATTTAAATAAATTGATATGTAGATGAAGAATTATATTATTTTTAAACGGGTTAAATTATTTTTTAATATGATCCTAAAAAGTGTGACCCCATTCAAAAATAGTGCAACATAGGTCTACATTTTTTTCCCCCCCTAAAACTTCATAAAATGATATTTGATAATATTTGAATAATTTTTTGTTCCCAATTGATTCTAGATTCACCTTAAATTGGTCAAAATAAAAATATTTTAAGAACTAAATTAATTGAAAATAAAATTTCAAAAGGCCAAAAATAGAAAACTAGTAATTTAAGGCTTCATAAAAAGTTTGGCCAAAAAAATTGTAATTTTAGCTTAAATTGATCACAAATTAAAAAAAAAAAAAAAACTGTTTAAGGTTTAATTAACTGAAAATAGGTCTTGTAATGGTCCTAAAATAAAAAAATAAAAAAAGTTACCATTTAGAGCTCATTAGATATTTCTAAGGTTTTTTTGGGGCAAAATTTTGCTATTTTTGGATAAAATAGATTTGTGTTACACTATTTCTAAATGAGGTTATACTTATTTTAATTGTGACCCTACAAATAGTTTACTCCCATTAAAAGATAATGTGGCTGAGGGTTCAAAATAATTTCTTTTCAAAACTTTAGAAAACCTTATTAGATAATATTCAAGTGGTTATTAATCCAAAATAATTTTGAATAAATTTACCTTAATTTGAACAAAATTTAAAAAATAAGACTAACTATTTTAAAGCTTGAAAAATATAAAAATAGTCATTTTTAGCCCTTTGCAAGTCATTTTAAAGAGATTTTTCTTAAAATTTGATATTTTTAGATGTTATTTTTTATTTAAAATATAGTAATAATATCATTATATTACATTTTAATTTATATTCAATAATACAAATTTTTGTATTTTTTTATACTATTATTTATAATTAAAATTTAATGATAATTTGAAGATTAATTTATATAATTATTTTATGCTTTTATTAATTTAAACAGATAAATATTTGATAATTTTATTCAAAATTTTAAGATAGATATTATTTATTTTGGACCGGTCCAAATTTTGGGTTGATTAAATCTGGCTCAGTTGAATGGGGTTGTTTGATAAGAAAGGAAATTAGATAAAATAAAATAAAATAAAATAAAAGAGTCTTTTAGAGCACTAAAAACAAAAAAACAAAATAAAAATGGACATTGAGAAAAAGATAATATTAGTAATTTTTTTGTTTAGAAAAATATGTGTATTTCACTCTAGACACTACTATCGGTGATTACATGTAAATATGAACTATGTAAATACATAGATGAGTATTTCGAATTTTCCATTCAGTTCTATCAAATGTTTTTGAGGAATGACATGAACTTACTAGAAATGTAAAATGCAATAGCATGATATACAACAACTTAGCGAAATCCATTACGATCAACAAAATCATAAGGTTTTCTTCTTCTTCTTTCTTTCTTTTTTTTTCCCCGAAAACAAAAACTTTTATGTTTGAACTCAAGATTATCTGAGTTCAAAATGTAAAGTGGAGCTCCCCACAGTTGTTCTTCTTTACATGACATGGATTATGACTAGCACAATCAGCCTCATGAGTCACAAATAAAATTCCTTAACAACAAGATCTTTGACAAGGTAATCAGCATCCATTGCAATATGATTAATTCCTTAACAACAATCAACTCATTCAACTCATTGATGTAGGGGTCACCAATGTAGAATGAACTTTAAGTCATACTAAAGAACATTTGCCCCGATAATCTCTTAAGGGAAGGCCAACCTCTTTAGTCCAACCTGAAATATTAAACACCATATTAGTTTTTAGTTTGATCTAACTATATTTATTGAACTAGTCTCGAGAAAAGTGCCAATACCTTTAAAGACATGTCAGTGGAATATCGAGAAAATAATGTGTCCATTTAGTTTTTATTATCATGATAGTCATATTTGAATCGTATAGGTTCATAGCACTTCCCTCTTTAATACCAGACTTGTAGGTTTGGATATCTCATATCTAACACAATCGGTCATCGGAAATGGTAGTCAACCTTATAAGGACTATTGAGTGTTGATAGAGGATCATCCACTTTCGGTTGTTGAATCTCGGATTTTGATGATGAAGTCAATTGTCATTTGTTATCTAATTCATATGTTGAGATAAGTGTGCAGAATTTACTACGATGGAAGTAAGACATGCAGTAGGAGTTGGCCGGAGTCAAGACTATGATCATGTTGGGAGTTCGAGAGTTCAATGGAAGTCCGAACGATCGTCGGAGGTTCTGCGAGAACAAATCCGAGAAGTCCAGGAGCTTGCCAAAGAAGCTCATCGGAACTCGCCAAGTGGATCGTTGCAAGTTTAGGAGTTTGCCGGAAGTTTGCTGAAGCATCGCCGAATGTTCGTCGGATGTTCACCGGAAGTTCGTCGGAAACTCGCTAGAAGAAGCGATTGACGCACCGGAGCAAGTTGCAGTAAATGTCTTAAGAAATATCATAGTTAGCATGTAGATTGAGTTAGGAATGGGAGGTGATCCCATTAACTTAATCTTGGGGCAATTGGGCCCTTGATAGACCCAAATTGAGCCTTGATCAACCCATTCGGACCAGAATTCCTGCCAAGCGGTGGCACCACCAAGGTCGACGGTGGCACCACCCAGGAGATGGTCTCCCAGGAAAGCTGGGCGGTGCAATCGCCCAGGTTAGGCAATGGCACCGCTTGGGCTCAGTCTCCAAGCGAGACTACGCGGTGCAACCGCCCCAGTCAGGCGGTGGCACCACCTGGGCTCAGTCTCCGAGTGAGACTAGGTGGTGCAACCGCCCCTGACAGGTGGTGGCACCACCCAGAGGCTTAGTCTCCGAGCTGCCAGGCGGTTGTACCACCCTAGTCAGGAGGTAGTACCGCTAGGACCCTGGAAATCCGGGAAAAGATATTTTTGAGCTCCAAATTCAAACCAGTTTAGGGCCTATATATACCTCACCCTTTCCTGCATGAAAGGGCACCGAAAATCTAATCTTACTCTATGATTTTTAGAGCTCAAAAGTGTTGTAAAGGCTAGAAGTTCTCCTCCCTCTTTTCTTCCAAGTTTTGATCTTTCAAGAGAGGAGAGAAAATTCTGTAAGGGTTGTCTCCTAAGCCCGTCAAAAGGAGTGAAACTGTAAAAGGGTGGTTGGCCTTCGCCTATTGAAGGAAGGCCTCTAGTAGACACCGGTGACCTCGTCGGAGGAGGAAGCCGAAAGTGGATGTAGGTCACGTTTGACCGAACCACTCTAAAATCTGGTTTGCATTTCTTTTGTGTTATTTATCTTAACTGCAAACTGTCTTCCTTACTTTACTTCAAATATGTTTCTGAAAGCTTTCAAAGTTATTATCTGCACGAAACGACTTTTACGTCAGAATCAGATTTCAACGTATGAACGCAGTTTTAAATGTCGAAAGTTTTCCGCTGCACTAATTCACCCCCCCCCTCTTAGTGCTCTTGATCCTAACAATTGGTATCAGAGCGGGGCTAACTCTTAAACGGATTAAAACCCAAGAGAGATGGCATACGCCGGAAACCAAGAGGGTCACTATATTATACGTCCACCCATGTTCAATGGGACGGACTACACCTATTAGAAGACCCGAATGAGAATCTTCCTTATTTCAATAGATTTTGAACTTTGGAATCTTGTCGAAAATAGATTTTTAAAGTCTTCTCTTCCAATGATCGATTGGAATGAATTGGAGAAGAAGACTTTCGCTCTTAATGCAAAGGCTATGAATGCCTTATTTTGTGTGCTTGATAAAAATGAGTTCAATCGTATTTCGGTTTGTGAAACCGCGTTTGATATTTGGCATACACTCGAAGTGACTCACGAAGGCACAAGTAGAGTGAAAGAGTCAAAAATCAATCTTTTGATACATTCTTTTAAACTTTTCCGAATGAAACCGAGCGAGACTATTGGCGACATGTACACCTGTTTCATGGATGTCGTCAATGGTCTAAAAGGACTCGGCAAAAGTTTTTCGAATTTTGAGCTTGTAAATAAGATTCTAAGATCCCTTCGTAAGAGTTGGGATCCTAAAGTCACTG